GTCAGATACTGCCACAGCCCCTCCTTAAATGTGGCAGATGGACCTGCCCCAGCAGAGCACAGACAGAGACAGAAAACAGAACAAGAACAAGCTCTCTGAGAGCTGAAGAACATAAATCTATGCTCTGATCCTTCCAGAACACAGAGGACATAATTAATCTAAGGAATTCTTGCAGTGAGATTTTTGCTTCTACCACCACATTAATTTACTTGTGTTACAGTTAATTTAATTGTGTTATACATTGCAAAAAAAATACTTCAGGCAGCCACTGATGTTTAGACTCCCCACTGTGCAGACTTGCTCCAAACAGGTCTGGGCAATAGCTGGAGGTGTTCATCCCTGCCAGCATCCTGAGCCTACAGCTGGTTCTCACAGGAGACCATCTCCAACAGAACTGAGCTGATGGAGAACTGCAGAGCAGGAAGTTCAGCTGGTTAGACCAACAAAGCTGCTGCCCAATCCTGCCCACGATGAAAACTGAGGGATATTAAGAATAAATTTTTAACAGACATTTAAGTGGGAATTTGGAAGCCACATTCAGGCATTATGCAGCTCAAAACATTAAGAAATGGACCTTGCTGAAGTCCACATGAGCTGGAACATTTTGAAGTTCAGCTGAACATCTCTGAAGACAATTTACCATTAGATCCAACTGTTTGGATCCCACCAGCCTTGTTCCCGTAATCCCTGCTCCCACAGGGCTCAGGCTCGTCTGCCAGCACATGGCAAACCACCAGCTGTGATGGGAAACACACATCAAAACCATCAACAACCTGATGAGTGTTGGCTCTCAGGTCCTGTTACTCACAGGACTTTGGGTGGCCTGGCCAGAAGTCACTTTCCCCAGAGAGGACAAACATGCTGTGGCTTGGGATGAACCGCAGGAGCGACGGGACACGTGGAAGGAGCACACTCAGGGCAAGTGCTGCACACACAGGAGCTCCCCAGCACAGTCCAGCCTCCAAGGAGATGAGAGCATGAAGCCTAAAGGCAGTGGCTGCTCCTCAGGAGCCCGGCTGGCTCCGCACTTTGCCGTCCTTCCCAAGCCCTCGCTCCAACGTGCCAGTCACACGCTCTGCAGAAACCCAGATTTCTATCTCACTGAAAAACATTGTTGTACGTTATTCTGGCAGGTGACCAAACTACCATTGACTCTTTTCAGCTCAGACGAGGTAGATTTTATCCTCTGAGATGCCAAAGATCCACATCCTGCAGCAAAGCCTCCCCTTCCTCCCAGGGCTACGGGGCTGAAAGGCTTTCAGTTCTCTGTGATAACAAAGAGGAGCCCTGAGCTGAGGCCAGCAGCAGTGCTCTGCATCCTCTGCCCCACTCCTGCTTTAGAATAAAGGTCAGTAGGTCTCCTTCCACCCCTGTGCTCGTATCCTGTCCTCACCACCGGAGCTGAGAGCTCAGCCAGGCTCCTCCAGCAGCTGCCCAGCACATCCGTTCGGAGCTGGAAACGGTCACTGAGTCCTCACACTGAGTCACACCCCCACTGCTTTATCTGAACCAACCTTGGGACACCTTGGAGAGGCCTCAAAACAGCCACAAGAGCAGATGAAGGGTCCTCAAGGGCACCTGAACCCTGCAGGAGGACAAAAGCTCCAAGTCCCTGCCCACACAGGCAGCCTGATCCCCAGGATGGGCACAGCCCATCCAGCTGCAGATCCCGCTGTGTCCCATCACACACAGCCCCACACTGACCTTCAGAGCCCTGGGTGAGCACTGCCTGTCCCACCACAGCAGCTCCAGTTGCACAACAGAGCTGGGAAATTGTTGTCCTGACACAGGAACAGCATCTCTCTCCCCCTCACCAAGATCCAGCTCCAACTCCAAAACTAACAGCTGCCTCACATATTTGAAGGTCTGGAAGGAGCAATAAAGCTGTTTTTCCTGAAATGTCTTGCACACCAGCAGCACCCCTCAGGCCACAGCAAAGTCACAAGTCTTGCAGACTGCCAGCAGCCCAGGGCAGGGGCTGGAGCTCCCTCTGTGCAGCCCAGAGCAGTGCTGGAACCTGCTCCCGGCCTGTCCCAGCCACCCTCCACTCCCAAAAGCCAGGCAGGATGTGGGCCAGAGGACGTGGACCTCACCAGCTCCATCTTGCTGGGATCTGTACCACAGTCAGGCTTTCAGTGGCCAGACATGGGGATGAAAAGAGAGGCTGAATTCCCACATTTGAAGCAAAACACCATTTGCATCTCACAGAACAGAGGGTCCAACTGCCAGGGCTGCCTCCCTCCCTCCTAATAAATCCTTAGCCCTGGCTGTACATGGAGACACCCACTGATCCACAGCATGTCCAGGCTGTGCTAGACCTGCCTTTTATCTCTCCCAGATCCCTGCTGGGCACCAGCAAATCGCTGACATTTTCCAAGTCGTCAGTTTCCCTAAACACTAATTCCTTGAGCAAGGAGCATCACTAAAGACCCTTGAGCAAATCCAAGGCAGGGTTTGGAAAGGAAGATGCTTAGCACAAGGTGGGCTCATTCACCCCAAGAGACACAGGTTCACTAAAACCAGCGTCAGGTTTGATTTTGATGCCCCAAAAGAGAAAGGGATTGTGGTTTGAGCTCTCAGCTCACAGGATCCCTCTGCTTCTGCCCAATTCAGGCCAAAATCAAGTTTCTGAAAACCCCTGCACAGCTACAAAACAGAACCCTTGTTTTTGGCTGGTTGCCTTGGCGACACACAGCGATCTCTTGGGAAGAAACCAAGGAATGCATCCTAATACGAGCTCCTTCCTTTTCAGGCATCAGCACTCAGCCTTATTACCCAGAGTAAAAGCCACAAACATCCTCTAGGTCAAGAGTAAACAGAAATCTTTCCATTTGCTCCAGCATCAGCATCTTCTAAACGCTGTCTACAGAGTCAAACCCTGGGCTTGCCCCTCCGAGCAGGAAGGGAACTGAAAGAAAAATGGCTGTTTCTCCCACTCCATCACCACATTTAATTTTACCCAGAAACTTGTGTCTCTACTACTTCTCCTTAAGCTGGATCTTAGTTTCCAGAGGGTCCACATTTGTTTCAGTCCCCTGAGCTCTGCAATATTCAAAGGCAGAGCAGGAACTGCCTGTTACATCCCTCCTCTCCAAACCTAGATGTTTACCCAAGTTCTCATGCAGGACACCCCCCTGAAGGCTGTTAGAGCTGTGTGTGCACTTTGCAGTATTTAGCACCTCATGTGCACAGTGGGACAGTCAATGCCATTAAGCTGATAAGAACACGGGCAGAGAAGCTCCATGACCTGCCCAATGTCACACAAACCCAACACTGACAGACAAAACAGCTCCTAACCAATATCATGACATTTTTGGTTAGGAAAGATCCTCTGGAGGTCTCTAGTCCCAACTCCTGCCTTAAGCAGGTCTGACCTGCCAGTTGCTCAAGGCTTTCCCCAGGCCAAGTTTCAGACAGCTCCAGGGTTGGAGGTGCCACGACTTCTCTGGGTTCCTGTTCCGGTGTTTGACCAACTTAAAAACAACTCAGTCACTGCACTGGCCTTGCCCTCATCTCCCTCCCTTCATTTTGTAATGTTAAGGACAGCTTCCATTGTGCACCATTTAATTTTAGTTTGGCTCTGTTCTTTGTGCCCCTGCAGCACTCCCTGCTCAGAGGAATCGGCTCCTCAGCTGCATCAGGAGCAGGGCTTACCCAAGCGTGGCTGTCCCACAAGGTTTCCCCTGGATCTTCTGCTCCATCCTAAGAGCACCCATAACTGTAACATGTTGTCTTGATATTTTCACCATTTATTTACACCTGATTTGGTGTAAATCTGTTTAACACCCCAAACTGAACAGAGCAGAGCCAAGAGAACAGCTGGAATGGGTTCAAGCCAGCAGGTGTTTAAACAGAACAACTCCAGTCAGAACAACTCCAAGCATTCCCCTGTAGGAGAACAAGATAAAACTTCAGGAGCACTGAGCCAGAATCATCGCTCCTCATTTGCTTATTCTGGATCTCAAGGTGCTCGTGCTCCAGACCTGCTCCCTGCATTAGTCACCATCAAATTAACACGGGCTGCATGTGCTTAGGAAGGAATTTAACAGCGTTAAGCCAGGGCAGCAGCACTCCCCGTCTCCCTTCAAATGAGATGCATCCTGCTCAAGGGATTTCCTCAAATTATAATACTCAGCGCCTCAGGCACCTGTGTGGATTCAGTCCATCAGCAATCCAGTTGGATTTAGGTAACGGGAATGTCAAACAACTCTTCTTGTTACGGGAAAACATGTTACACTGCAGCTTAGAAGTTGGGATCTGTCACCTCAGCGTGCTGCTTTCAGAGCCCAACAACACGCCCACTCCTCCTCTTATCACATCCAGCTGCGTTTCACCAAGCCCTACAAAGATTAATTCTCAATGGAGGGCTCACAAGGATCTAAGTTAGATCCCAAGCAGTGAGAAAATCTGGCATTCACTCCAAAGGCACTTGGAGCAATCGACATCTCGGGGATCTTCAGAGCTGTAGCTGCACATCCAGAATGCGCAGGTGGTTTAATCCTATCAAGGGGAGTTAAGTTCTTGTTGATCTCTTTCTGCCTAATCGAGACCTAATTCTTGAGCCTCTATCAATAGATCACTAATGCGGGGAGGAGGCCAATGCCACGCTGCCCAAGTGACCACAGGCAGCTCAACATGTCCAGCACCTACAGACACAGCCAGCAGAGCTGGAGGGAAAGCCCACAGCTGTTCAAACCATGCAACTCACCCTGATTTCCTAAATATCTGAAATATTTTACTTTCTGTTATCATATCTCCAAGAGGAGACGGGGTGGGAGAGGCCCTGCAGTTATCACAGGGCATATCCCACCCTCATCTGCTTTGTGGAACAGCACCCAGTGCCCCCTCCCCGAGAGCAGCCTCTGGCTCCCAAAAGGACCAAGCCCTTCTTCCCAAACACACTTCCCATCTTCCCACCCGGAGCCTCACGGAAAGAGAGCCCAAAAGCAGCCACGTCCAGCCTGGCTGTTCAGCACAGAGCTGCCCCAGGCAGTTCTTACCTTCTTGCGGCGGGAGCCCGTCTTGCTCATGCAGGACCTCTCCAGGGACAGGTACCCTCCGATCACTTCGATCTCGTTCACCGAGGGGTAGCGCTTTTTATGGGGTATCCCCACCTGGGGCCCATCAGCGTTCTCCATGGCTTTGCCTCTTCCTTTGCTCTCCTCCTCCTCGTCCTCTTCCTCCCGCTGCGGCTTTCCGCTGGCATCAGCGAGAGTCTGCAGCCCCGAGGCAACGGGCTTCCTTTTGGGCACGACAGTGAAGGTGCTGCCTCCCCTCTGGTGGGGCGCGGAGTGGGGTCTGTAGAGGGGCACGGAGGAGAACTCCATCTCCAGGTCAGGCCCAGCTCCCCCGGGCTGATCCAAGCTCCCCGTCCTCGCAGTCGAGCCGGCCCTGGGAGAAACCTCCCCGCTGTCCGGCTCCACAATGTCATCGATGTAAGTCACAGGTACCAACGGGTCCAGAGGCGCCGGCGGGGAAGCCACGGGCTCCTCCTGCTCCGGGGCGGGAGCCCTCGGGGGCTCCTTCGCTGCCTTCTCCTCCGAGGGCGGTGGCGGTGGCCCCGGCCGGGCAATGTGGGCCGGGGGCCGAGCCGGGCCGCCCTCCCGCCGGGGCACGAACAGGAAGGAATTGCGTGAATTCAGGCGCAGCTTGGCCAGAGCCTGAGCCTGCAGGTCGTGGGCTGGGATGGCCGCCAAGTCGGGCTTGGGGGCCGGGTGGATCTCGAAGGAGCCCCCGGCCCGGGGGGCTGAGGCGGAGAGCGGCTGAGTGGCGCCGGTGGCACGGGGGGCCAGACTGGCACTGGGCAGGGGCGACACGGGCGCCTCGGCCTCCTCTGGCTTTGGCCTCCTGGCGTTGGCTCTGGCATGGGAAGGGCTGGCGGATGGCACTGGCGGCCCCTTGGGCGGCGCGGGGCGGCCCGCGGGGACAGCTCCGGGCTCGGGGACGCGGGCGCTGGGGGGCTGCCCCCGGGGGGTGACGGTGAACGAGTTGGAGCTGATCTTGTGGAGGAAGCAGTTGGCCTGGGGGGCTGCAGCCTTGGGGGCGGCGGGGACCGCCTGGGGGGCTGCGGCCCGGGGGGCAGCCGGGGTGGGCTGGGGGCCGCGGGCTCGGGGTGACGGCCCGGGGAAACCGCGGGCTGCGGGGCGACAGCCCGGGCGGCGGTCGAGGGCTGCGGGGTGACAGCCCGAGGGGGAGCCAGGGCTGCCTGGGGGACACGGGCTGGGGGGTGACAGCCCGGGGAGGTGCCGCGGGCTCGGGGGTGACAGCCCGCGGGGGAGCCGGCAGCGGCTGGGGGGGGACAGCCCGGGACGGTGCCGTGGGCTGGGGTGGCAGCCCGGGGAACACCGGCTGCAGGACAGCGGGCTGGGGGCGGCCGGCACCGCCGGGGTGGCAGCCCGGGGGGCCGCCGGCAGCGGCTGCGGAGCGGCGCGGACCGCGGGCGGGGATGCCGGTGCCGCCTTTGGCGCCGGGGCCCGGGGGGAGCCGGGGCCCCTGTGGATGGGCGCGGGGGCGCCGGGCCCCGCGGCCCGGGCAGCGCCCGGTCCCACCTGCGGAAGAGCCGCGGCCCCGCCGGTCCCGGTCCCGCTCAGCGCGTCCCCCCCGCGGCGGCGGCGGCCCCGCGGGCGCTGCCCGAACTTCTCCAGGAGGCGGCTGACGGTGCCCGGCTCGGCCGCCTCGGGCGGCTCCGGCGGCTCGCCCGTCTCGTAGATGACGACCTGGTCTGCGCGGATCTCGGCGAGCGCGGCCCCGCGCCGGGCCAGCAGCTCCCGCAGCGGGTCGGGGCCGGCCGGGTCCCGGCGGCGGGCGGGCGGCGCGTCCCCCGCGGCGAAGCAGGCGGCGGGGTCGGTGCGGGACTCGATGATGAGGATGTTGTCGGCGCGGATGGTGCGGATCCCGGGCACGGCGCTGTACAGCTCCAGCAGCTGCTGCAGCGGCCGCGCCGCGGCGCCGGGCCCGGGCCGCCCCTGCCGCAGCCGGCGGCGCTCGCTCTCCAGCCGCATGAAGGGGTTCTCCCGGAGCGGGCCCAGGCTCTCGGCCACCACCAGCCGCTCCCCGGCGGGGGGCTCGGGCTCGCCGCCCGCCCCCGCCAGCTTGGCCCGCTTGCGCTCCAGGATCTCCCGCTGCCAGGCGGGCTGAGCCCGCGGCCCGGCGCCGAGCGGCGGCTCCGCGCTGCTCATGGCGGCGGCGCTGGGGCTCTGCGGGACGGGCCCCGCCGCGCCGGGCCGGCCCCGCGGCACCGCCCCCGGGCCGGGCCTCCCCCCTCCCGGCCGGCCCGGGCCGCTCCCAGCGCTCCGCCCCGCCCGGCCCCGCTCGGGGTGGGGCTCACCCGGGGGAGCAGCCCCGGCGCTGGGACCGCTGCCTGCAGCGCCCTCCCCTCGCACTCAGCAGCCCCCGGCCCGCGGGGTCTCAGCCTCACACGGGCCTCGCTGACCGACACAAAGAATCCTAAACACACAGATCTGCCCTTTCCTCCATCCCGGACTTGCCAGCGGGGCACCAGCCAAGGACAAGAGTAAAGTCGCCCTTCGGGGTCACTCACGGGATCTTGGCCATGGTCCGGGCAGGTGCCTGGGCGGGAGCGGCCGCGGTGGGCAGGGAACCAGCCCCGGGTGCCAGAGCAGTGCCCATCCCACCCATCCCGTCACAGTAGTGTTTTAGGGAGAGCCCTGATGGAGACAAGGGGGACTTTCCACGGCACATGGCAGCAAAGCAGGGAAAGCATTTTTCCCACCGGCTTCGCTCTTCAGGCTGCCCAGGGAGGTCGTGGAGTCTCCCTCTCTTGGAGACATTCCAAACGCACCTGGACACGGTCCTGTGTCACTGGCTCTGGGTGCCCCTGCCTTGGCAGGGAATTGGACTGGATTATCTCCAGAGGTCCCTTCCAACCCCAGCTATTCTGTGACTCAACAGCCACTTGTTGAGTACAAAAGTGCCGCCGTCGCGTTATTTCCAGTCAGTGCCTGTTATCAGCCACCTGCAGGTGTCTTTGGGAACTCTGTGCAAGCAGGAAACGATCACGGGTCAGTGCAGGACTTCCCACACCTCCCACAGCGCACTGGGCTGGAATCCTCACCCTGGGAGGCACGAGGGACGTGGCCCACGGTGACATAAATAATCTTTGGCCAGGTTTGGGGGAGGTTCTGGCCTGGCTGGGAGCTGTGGAGCCGCACCCCGGCATGCCCGGTGTGGGTGATGCACCCACTGCAACCGGGCTGCCCAAAACACAGGTGTGTTTACAGGAAGCAGCTCCCTGTGCTCCTGATAAGGCTCCTACCTTTGCACTCCCAAGCCACAACAGAGCAATTGCACCTTCTTCAAACGCTACCTGGAAATTACACTACTAAAAATAGAAATTTTTTTTTCTTTATTGCCAAAGCTGCCCACGTATGCCCAGCTGTACCGTGTGCCCCGAGGAGCTGCTCTGCTGCACCGCAGAGCTCAGGGGAAGCAGGCAGCTCTTCGCCTTTCACCTTAAATAACACCCGGGTGATGTGAGGTTCACACATGACCTGCTGTTCTCCCCGAAGCGACAGGTCCCTGATGCACCACCCGCCTGCAGCCCTCGCTGCCCGGGGCCGAGGATAAAGACCAGGCAAGCGGGCAGAGACATTTCCCCGCCTCTGGTGACTCATGGCTCAGGCACGGCCAGAGCCAACAATGTGCCTTTGTGCTCGGAGATCTCAATGGATTTCTCTTTCGTGGTCTTGTCTGGTTGGCTTTTGAGCCCGTGTAAAGCCCGCAAAGCCTGAAATAATGAATCCCACACAGTTTTGCTGCACCTGGCGCAAAGAAAACGCCTCCCTTTGTGGGCACTGAACCTGACATCTGCTGGTTTCGCTGCGTGCCCGCCTGCCTTTAGAACAAAACAATAAATCCAGCCATTATTCATCTCCTCCCCTGCCAGTCAGGATTGGAGAGCCTTCTATCACTTCTGTCAGCTGCGCCGTTCCCCGGCTGAGAAGCAGTGTCAAGGGCTGGGCAGTGAGCCTCGGCTGGCAGGAGGGTGCTTTGGAGCTAATCCCCTGCTCAGCTGTGTTCACAGCCCCGGGGAACCCCCGGGCAGCCCAGGGTGTGTTACTGAGAGGCTCCCGGGAATGCCGCTCGGAGCTCGCGTTTTGGCACAGGGAGGAGCGCTCGGTTACAAACCCCAGGTATTACAAACCCCAGGTATTACAAACCCGAGGTGAGGTGGCAGGGCCCAGGCTGGGAGGGTGTGATGGCAGTGTCACCGTGGGGCACAGGCACGAGTTCCCGGTGCCCAGCGCGGATGGAGCGGCTGTGGACGTGGCACATCAGAACCAGTCGTGGCACTGGGGGCTGGCAACACCGGGGTCTACTGGGCCAGCCCCAAGGACAGCCCGGTGAGGAGGGAACAGGGACAGAGCAGGGCCCAGCAGGACTGGGGGATTTCTCCTCATACCCCAGGGCAGAGCAAAACTCCACCTACACAGCTCCTGCTCCGGCTCTGTCCATCACACACCCTGTGTGAGAGAGGGAGGAGGGCGACAGGTAAAAGTAATCCATCGTAGCTGGGCTTCTCCAGGGAGTTTGGCTTTGTACCCTGACACTGATTTAAAGCCAGGACAGTGCCCACGTGGAACAGTTCCGGGGTAAGGAATAAAGACCAATTTTCTGGCCACTGGGCACCAGCGATGCCAAAAGGGAGACCACTGGCCAGGCCACTGGCTGTGCAGTGGGTGAGAAGGCACTAAAAGTGATTTCTGTCATCTGTCACACTGCTGAGATGTCACACACAGGCCATGTCCCATCCCACTGTGGTGGTGGCACTGGGAGAATGTCCCCACATGGGGAGCGAGGACTGAGGAACAGAGGCTGAGAGATCCCAGGGCTGAAGGAAAATGCCTCAAATGACAGAGCTGCCCAGCCTGTTTCTGCCTCTGCTCTGAGGGGCTGCAGTTACCACATTTATCAGACCATGAACACGCAGGTGACTGTCAGCATTAGAGATAAGGGGAAAATTTGCAGCTGGGAGTTCAAGCTAGAGCTGTTCCCTCTGGCAATTCAGTCAAACACACCTGTGAGAGAGAAAGTGGCTTGTCAGAATTCATTGCCTTCTGCTCCCCTGGGATGTGCTGTATTTTGGAGTCGCTCTGTTTTCCCCAGAGGGATTTCCAGGCCTTTGGCCTCCTGTGAATTTCTCCAGGGCTCTGTTTCTGTGTCCAGGAGGGTGCTCAGGGATTAGCCTTCCTCCCAGGAAGAGGCACAATCCCTAATGCACTCTAAGTTCCTTAGCACCCCAGTCCATGCTCACTAAGCCTTAGATACTCTCAGGACCTGAATCACTCTGTGCTATCCCTGTACTATCCCCGTCACTGGATTTGTGGTCCTCAGATGGCATCAGGATTTTTTACTTTCCTCCTCTTTGAGCTGCATCTGGGCCTCTTGCCCCTCTGGAGCTTTGTCCATCGTTTCCCTGGCTGCTGCCATTCAGAAGTGCCTGGTGCCTGTGTGTCCCTCACCTGCATCACAGGCTCATCACACACCATTTCCCTCACACAGCATCTGCCAAGTGCCATTTCCCGGGCTTATAAACTCAGCCAAAGAGAACAACAACAGCAAAAAAACAAACAAGAGAAAAAACCCCTGCTTTCCCAGAAATATGTTTTTATTAAACCACATCTTTAACCCCAGACATGTTCATGTACTCAAGGCCTGGTTGTCACACACGAGGCAGCAGAGCCTCAGAGGGACCCCTTAACAAAGGCAGAGGAGATGGCAGAGGCTCCTGCCTGGGCAGCAGCAGCAGCAGCAGCCAGAAACCACCTTGAAAGCTGGGGAGAGTGCTGGGGTAACTTCCTTCTGACTTTTCCAAGGAGCTGCTCCAGGGCCTGCCAACACCTCAGAGCTTACAGTCTTTGTTTTCAAAACTCTCCCGTTTTGGCCCCACACCAGCCTGTCTCAGGTTGAGCTCTCTAACCCTGGGGCTCTCTTGGGGCCAACATTTCCAGCTCCTTCAGCTTCCCACTGAGGTGGGATGGGCAAAGAGAGGCCCCAGTGCTCGGACACTCGTGGGCAGTGCAGACTCAGCCTGGCTGGAGCAGCACAGACGAACTCAGCCACACTGCCCTGCCCTCGAGTTTGATCTATGAAAGGAGCAGGATGCTGTCAGCTCCCTCTGAACACAGCTGAGAGCAGGGGCAGGATCAGCAGAGTGTTCTATCTCCACAAGGTTTGTCAGCTGATCAATCACACTTAAGTGATCTGGGGTTCCCCTTCAGTCTTTTGATCATGTTGCTTCACCCTTTTTCTCATTTGGACAAAAGTAACTTAAACATCTCAGAATTTAGGGGCATTGCTGGACACAACCTGCCCTCCTCCACATTACCAGCCCCATGTCCAAAGCCTGTTGCTCAGGCTCTTGTTTTCTTTTCAGAAAGCTGCTGATGCCCCTCACTCACAGCTCTGCAGAAGCAAAGGGAGGAGTTGCAGATGAGTAAAGGAGCTGGAAATGAAAACATGCCTGAACTCTGCTGGGAAACAGTAAAGATCTCAAAGGGCACTGACTCCCAGCCATCTGACAGCTCAGGTTGTTGTTGCTTGGTATCACAGCCCAGTTCCAGGAATAGTGTTATTAAAGAACAACAGGAAATACACAGCAGAAAAAGCACAGCCCCTTCAGCTCGTTTGGGTCCAATCCAGCCTGGTTCCCTGGGGTGGGGAACACCAAAACCCGCTCGGCTCCTTCAGCCATCCCCACCTGAAGACCCGGCAAAGTCAGGTCTCACTTAGCACAGGGGCACAGGGAGCAGGATCAGTGCTCAGGGGCCTCACTTGGTTGTGCTTATCTGCCAGGTTTTTAGGGCATTTCAAATGTCAGGGCAAAGATCCCTGTCCTTGAATTCCCAGCTCTGCACCAGCTCCACCTTAAGAGCACCTTGTAGTCGTGACTCTATCGCTACAACAGAGATTCAGCACTAAAAATACGAACTAGAAAAAGATTATCTCATAACCCCACACCTTCTGTTGAAGCTTTTGAACCCCCTGAGGTGCATCTGAGCTGGTCCTCGAGCCAGAGAGCAGGGTGGTGGTGGCAGTGCCCAGTCCCCACAGCTGCAGTGTCCCTCAGTGAGAAACATTCCCCAGGTACAACTCAACACATCCCTGAGTGACTGGAGGGGAAGGAAGATTGGAATGCCCAGTTAACTGAGTTACTGTCCCCACTCTGGGAATATAGGGCAACTTGTGATGGGTCTTACCTGTCCTTACCTATGTCACTTCTAAGGACACTCCCAAAGCAATACAATACTGTGACGAATGTTTAGGTTGTATTAGTTCTTTAATATTTACCAAACATTTATGGAAAGCAGCAATGTGGTTTCTCTTCAAACGGATTCTTTACATTTAATGTCCATAATGTTTATTCCTTCCAGTCTTTACATTTCTCACACTGACTGGCAGTAGGTTGGGCTGAAGTTATTTCTGAGCCAAAGCTGCTGTTGGTTCCTGCTCTTTTCACAGATCATGCAGTGCCTCAGTAAGAGGTTATCTTACTGTTAACTCTGCCAGTTACACAGCAGGATCACCTGGGAGTAACCATGACCCCAGTCAGGTTCATGGCCTATTAAACCACCCATTTACTCACTCAGCTCCCATTTAAGATACCATTAGCAGGCTGACTCGCCCACAGAAGTTTCCAGTTGCCTTTGGCTTGTGTTTCCACAATGAGAATTTAAAAACACTTCCATGGAAGATGCAGAAAGCCACAGATCCACTGTGGTCAGTGGGACAAAGTACAGGATCACAAACAGCTCTTTACAGATGATGTGGAAGATGATAGTGCCACTCCACATCCCTCAGGAGGAATCCTTGGGAAGGGCTGTCTCTATCACCAGCTCCAGGGACTGGCACAGCAAAACCCAGGGCACAGAGAGGCTCAGCTCCACCTGCAGCTGCAGATCCCTGTCCTGCTGTTGGCAGTGGGGCCGATCCCCCAAGGGATGGCACAGCCCAGCTCATCCCCTGATGGAGGGTCTGACAGCAGGTGCCAACTGCCAAGACCCCCAGCAGGATCTTTTTTCCTCATCCAGTAACACATCTTATCCTGGACTACCACCTAATGATACACAAGTGTGACTCAAACTGGCTTGTGATGGGTGGGATGTTTACACTTGCACCAAGCCTGCCATTCCACCTCCAGGGGGATTAAAAGGACACATTCCCATCTCCAGACCCTGCCAGGCTGGCTATTGAAAATCAGCCCTTTCCATCCTCTCAGGTAACCCCACTCGTGCTGTGTGCGGGTGCCAAGGCAGCCCTGCAGTCCCTGCCAGCAGAGCCTGGGAACAGGAACTCCCAGGGACGGGTGACCAGCACAGCCACGTCCTGGAACAGCAGCAGCTGTTTGGGGTGGGTGTGTGCCAGGCTCTGGAGCGGTGCCAGGCTCTGGAGCGGTGCCAGGGCAGCAGGGACGTGTCACTGCCTCGCACTGCACGTGGCAGTGGAGGGGAGCAGCTCCCCTGAGCAGGGACAGGGCCTGTGTGTGGGGAAGGAACACACACACACTCCAGAAGCCCTGGAACCCTGTGCTGAGCTCCAGGCAACGAGTGCAGGCTGAGAAATGAGGAATAAATTCCTTCTGGGAGTCCCCTGTGCAGAGGATCAGCAGAGCCCCTCCACAGGCCATGGGACGTGGCTCAGGTGGCTCCAGAGGCACTGGGAGGCAGGACTGGGTGGGATCCCAGGGATGCACAGCAGAGTCCTCCCACGGGCAGGATGAGCTGCCTGGGGGCCTTTTGCACTCAGATGTTTTGCTGGAGCTACAAGGACTTTTCTGTTTTGGTTTTTAACACAGGAAGGGATTATTTGGGAGTTCATCTGTTTCCCACCCCAGGCCTGGAGCTCAGCTGCAAAGGGAAGCTGCTGGCTGCAGCATGAGGAGAGGTAAAAAAATCATCATCTCAGTTTTCTACCTATGTCTGTCAGGTAACTTGAATTTTCTTTTTCCCTCTCCTTCCCAGCCAAACAAGAGGAAAACAGTAAAGACTCTCTGAAAATCCCTGTACAGGACAAGTGCCACATCCAAGAAGACAAAACAATCCCCCCAGGCCTCTACAGCTCAGTGAACATTCCCTGCAGGCACCAGAGGACACGGTGGGGCCATTCCCAGCAGGTGAGCCAGCCTGGTGCCCCTCCTGCCACCCTTCTCCCCTCCTGGAGGTGACACTGCCAGCCCAGGCCAAAACACATTCATCCACACAAGGGGCTGGAGGTCACATCCAGTTCTGCCTCACAGCGAGGGCAGCACAAACCCCACCCTCGGCTGGTGAACAGCCAGGGCTGGTACCCAATTCAGCCATCCCGGGTCCATCTGCCTCCCTCCAGGGTTACCCAGGGCTCTCCTGCCCCTGGGAAAAGCAATTCCAGGGCACACAGGAGCTGCAGCAGCAGTTCCTCGTGGAGGGACTGAGTGGAACAGTGGGACAGGGCACAGGGATGGGACCAAGCCAAATCCCACAGCAATTACCGGCAGCACGTGAGAGAACTGGTTTCAGACACACCCCGAGAGCAGGCTGAGCTGTTGGGGGCTGGGAGGAGCTGGTGGGAGTGGAATGACAAATTGCCCTGCGTGCCCAGCAGCCACAGCTGCCCCAGGCAGGCACTGCAGGAGCTGTGCCCTGGCCTTGGCATTCCCAGGGGAGACACTGCAGGGATGCACAGGGAGCTGTGCCCGTGGGTGCTGCCCTGGCCCTGGCACTGCCAGGGAGATGCTGCAGGAGCACACAGGGAGCAAGGAAGGGGTGCTTGGCCTCGGAGATGTCCTGGCTGGGGCTGTGCCGGGCGCTGGCAGCGAGGGCACACCCACAGCTCATCATTCCTTACAGGTTGGTCTCACTGAGGAAGTTCCAGGCTCTATTTTTACCTCTAAAGTTTAAAGAATGACAATTTTTATTTTCCTCTGCTGACCCCTTCCTTTCCCAGCAGCCACTTGAAAAGCTCAGCTGGCGACAAAGGGCAAGAACTGTTGTTTTCCTCTGTCACCAAAGGTTAATTCCAACGATGCTGCTCCACACAGGATGTCAAACATCACAACTCTGTTCCAGTCACAGCTCTGAGAATATTTCCTCTCTTTAGGCAAATGAAGGCTACAAAGGAAATAATATGCTCATGTCATAAACATCACAAACTATGAGGAATATAGATCTTTGGAGGGAAATCAATTCATCAGTTGTCATTATCCTATAAACTGCACCAGGAAAACAGTCCACAGAGTCCATTCCAACACACATCTTCCACCAGGAGTTACTGTACAATCTACCTCCTACTTTGCACCCCGAGTTCTACAAGTGGTCAGTGAGAATATACAATAATTCTACAGAGAAATCACTCCAGTGGATACAGAAACGGGCCCTTTGAGGGTTAAATAAGATTTTCAATAGTTCCACAATGCTACATTCATGCTACCAAGTTCACTGAATTGGGATTTCACTTCAGGAAAGAGAAAGGAAGAACAGTTTGTCTGTCTCCAGTTAGGAGGTGAAAGGGTTAGAAAGGGAGAGAGTTTTGTGTCAGCATTTTAATCCTCCCACAACCATTTCCCTCTCCAGATGACTGACCTTGTGCTTCCATCGCACCTCTGGCTCCCACCTCTCACCTCAGAGCTGGTGGAGAGCCACAACATTAGATAGTAATTGGCATAAATTTTGGGTTGGTTTTTTATTTTTTTTTTTACATCTGGCATTTTCTTCCAAAAGCTACAGACTGGTGCCTGTTCTCCCCTTCACTGCAAGTCTGGCAAACCTCAATCCAGGGATGAGATGTGGCTCCCAAAGCTCCCGAGGTCAGGGCAGCTCCCAGGAGCTCCCAACCAGGGGGAGGCAACAGCCCACACCTGTTTGGTTCAGTATGTGGCTTTTCAACAACTTTAAACCATCTCTCTCCACTTATTCCTCTCCTTACTTGTATGTACATTATTTCTTCAAAGTAGTTTTGCTATAAAACTGCCATAAATGTAAAGGGTTCAGCAGTTCTAGCCAGGGAACCTGCTCCCCAAAATCACAACCACAGGGGGAGGAGGACTCTACAGATCAGAACAAATAGTTCTTTTTGTAAGTAGTTAAAAGAAGATTTATACACATATTTTCCTTCACTTCACAATCAACTAATTTTAGATAACAGGAAATCAGGAAAACAAGGTAATCATTCCCTGTTACTTCTTTTGCTTGTAAAAGAAGTCATTTGTGTCACCTCCCAGAATTGCCAGTGACCTACACAGACTCTAAGTACTATTTGTCCTTGAGAGGACAGTAGAATGTGAGAAAAAAGCCCTTCCCAAAACAAAAAGCACCCCTCGACCTGACCAAAACAAAAAGTAAAGAGATTGCAAAATGTAGCATCAAATATCAAGACCTGGGTTCTCAGGTCTGACAGAGCTTGGGGTTTTCTCTGTCCTGCTCAGGAAGGGAAGGGAAGGGAAGGGAAGGGAACAGCTCAGACCAAGAAATAGGTCTTTTAGCCAGGGAAAAGAGGTGTTTTATGCACAAACAACTGGCAATCAAGTGAACACAGGGAAGATTCAAACTCATGCTCCAAACCTGTTCCTCCAGAAGCATTTCTCCCAAATGCCTCAATGCACAGTCCCCTCAGAGGGGTCCCAACAGCTGCTCCTCGTGGCAGGTCAGGAAGGGAGCTCATCTCCCAGCACACAGCAAAGCACTGGCATGAACAGGTAATTACCATGGCTATTAATTTCTAATTCATTTTTATACCACAGTGGGCCTGGCAGAGGTTTCCCCAGCCAGGCCCCATATTCCTAACCTAAAGTATTTCAGCAAAACTAAAGTCCCATAGTTTTGCAAGCAGCAAAAGAGAAAGTAATGAAGTTGTGGCTAATTGGAGGAGAACTATACATTCGTGAGAGCAGGTACAGTTAGTGCAACACAGCTACTCTGAAAGGAAGGAACCAAACCAATGCAGCAGACATGCAGGGTCTGCCAAGTTATGTTAAAACCATGTTTGCTGGTGATTAAATATGTCTACAGAAGATATATTACCAATCTGAATATATTTTCAAGCAGACCAGAAATACCTCATCTATTGGTTATGGTGTGTTATTTTTAACTAATTAAATACTGGGAGGGATTTTACCCCCACCCCTTGCTATAAAAATTGCACTTATTTTCTATTAAACAAAACAAAAAAACGAAAAAAGAAGATTTCAATTCTATATCCCAGTATATATTCACATGGAAACTGGGTTGTCTTGCTCTAAGCTTGCAGGAGTAGGTGTAGCAGTCCTTGCTCTCCGAGATCCTCAGCACAGAAGGTCCCAGCAGCACAACCCCCTCCTCCCTCTGTGCTCTGGTGACTTCTCCATTGTAGTGCACGGGTAAGTGGGTTTCTTTTTTTTTTCTTTTTTTTTTTTTTTTTTTTTTTTTTTTTGTGTGTGTGTGTGTGTGTAAGAAAACCTGAGCTTCAAAAGTCTTTAAAAGGACCTGGAATCAAATCTGGCCCATTCTGACCCAAAACAGCTCAGTTCTGCCAGGAACTCCATCCTGTCCTGGTTGCACACAGCTCCTCCTGAGACCCCACGGCTCGGACTGGGGCCAGCCAGGGTCACCCCCTTTCCCTCCAGTCTCTCTTGACCCAGGAGACTTTCCTTGGACGCGCTTCCGAGGGCTCCTCCTCCCCTGCCTTCAGCACTGCTGCTCCCATGGGGCTGTGAAGGGCTCCCTGTGCCAATAAAAAAGTCTCTCTGCAGTAAGCATGACTTCTTGGACACTGGTGATGAGCTTCCTCTCGCAAAGTCTTCTCCAGCTCATAAAATGTCATCGTAATCCAATAGTTTCGAGTGCTGCCGGGTCTTCCAGAGGCGGTAAAGGCGGAAGTCAAAGTAAGTCTCGATCATTTGCTTACCTAGAGGTGAAATGAAGCAGAGGGGTCACACCCTGCAGCACAAGGGACACAGGGGAGAGGCCACAGCACCACAAAAACCCCAGGCCACCCGTGGGCAGGGCACAGGAACCCATCCAGACACTTCCCTGGGGGTACACTGGCACTGGGCACCTGCTGGGGGCACGTGGGGGTGAGAACCAAACATCTCTTTAGATCTCCCCAACCATGAATGGCTCCTCGTGATCCCCTGGCAGGGTTTGCCCATGGGGGAAGGAGCTGAGCACAAAGTCTGTCTCCAGACTTTGACCTCTCTGCTCTGAGTGCTGAGCTGGGGGCAGGGGCTGGAGAGGATCAGCCAACAGCCCCAGTGAGGCACAGGGACTTCAGAAACTACAAACCAAGAGTTAACTCACTGGAAAGGCTTGTGGGAAACACTGAAAATAATTAACACTGAAAATTCAAACAAAAATATGCTTTTTGGTTTTTTTTTTCAATTACTAGGCCATCTCTGTCCTGCAGGGCTGTCTCTGCTCCCAGCAAGGAGCTCACAGGACACACCAGTGCCAGCTCTGAGCCCCTCTGATCAAAGAGGGGTCTCACAGGCAGTCACAGAGCAAAGGCTGTGCCCAGGAGGCAGTGGGTGCATTGGAAAACACAAGGGCAAACAACCCTGCACTCAGACAGGGCTTAAGGAGGGGATTTTGGCTTGTGGGGCCTGATTAAGATTAGTTTTAGATGACTTTGCAAAGGATTAAGAGGGTACAGCATTAGTGCGTCCCAGACCGCCCAAGGGGATCAATGCAGACGTGTTCTTCAGCCCAGCCTCCTGCAAGATCAACTGCTCAGAGCCTGCACACAGAACCCTCTGCCTGCCTGCTGAGCTGCCCACAAACCTGGGAATGTCCCTGCAAGCTGCCCTGGGACACATGTCCAAGCATGCTCAGCACGGGATCTGTGTGAGCAGCGGGTACAGCTGCTGACCCTGGCAGGACACAACAGAGAACTGAGAACGTGGTTTAGTTGGAAGTGTCCCTGCCCATGGAGGGCTTGGAACTGGATGAGCTTTAAGGTCCCTTCCAACTAAACCCAGTCTGGGACTCCTGTGATTCCATGAACCAAAGTGCTCAACTCCTGCACATTCCTGAGGGAGAGGGGAGTCAAGAATAACCCAGCAGTGCTGAGGCCAGCTGGGAGCAGCTGAGGAAGCACCCACAGCCTGATGCTGCGTGGTTTTGTTTGCCAGGAGAACAAAGTGCCAAGGAATACAGCAAACATAAAAAACAAGGGCCAATTCAGAACCTGCTGCTTGTAAAACCTCACCAGTTACTGACACTGAGCAGAGAACAGGAAGGATCCTGCAGCCCCTTGAAATATCTTGAGCTACAGGCAGAAAAGGGAAAAAAAGCCAACAGACTGAGCTGTAGAATGGCTCTGATGGGTCACATCCCAGCTGCTCGTTGATGACACAACTCTTTCAGTGCCAGTGGCTTGAGCCCTGGAGACCTGGCTACAGAAAAGGTTCTGCTCCATGTGCATTTCTCCCACATGCCCTAATATTGATAGATCTCCTACAGTCAGCTTGGAAAGCTGCTTACTTTGCACTGCCAGTAGCCTGGGACAGGCTCTGCAGCCTCAGGCACGGGACAGATGAAGTGTGAACATGAAGGAAAGGGGAAAACCAGGAAAACAAGGTTTTACAAGGTTTTTTTTTACAAGCAAACCAAAGACCATGGCAGGACTTAAGGGAGCTCAAAACTGCTTTTTCAGGAAGATGCCCCCCTGAAGGTGGCAGGCTGGTTAGGAGGGTGTGTGTCTTTGCGAAGAAAATAAATTACCTTGAGCTGATAGTTCAAGTGGAGACTCAAAGGCAACCCTATAAGGATTCATTAAGTTTTTCAGATTCTGAAATAGCTGAAAGGAAAATATATCAGAGTTAGCAGCTGAAAACAGGGATGGCTCCTGGGGACCCAGAACTGATCCAGAAGCTCCTACCTTCTCCCCATTGGGGTTTCCAAGAACATAGCAGCCCATGATGTGGATGATATTTGGTTCAGGATTGACTTTACTCATCAGCCGGCTCAACCTCTTCCAGAAGCTGGAAAAAACCAGGAAAAAACAGAACACATAATTAAAATATAAAGCATCTCTCCTCATAGGCATGATTTACCCAAGGATGTGTGCACACACCACTCAGAAGGGTGTTCAGGAAAAGCCAAATCTTAGACAAGGAAGAGCAGTGGCAGAGCAAGGGCCTGAGGAGCAGGTCCAAGTCATGTGGCTGAGAAGGAGGAGCAGCCCATCGAGCCAAGGAGGCTCCAAGGTGAAGAGAAGGGAGCAAAGTCCACCAGGAGTGCTTTTAGAGTGACAGTTTTACTGTCATCCCCTCCAGTTTCCTCTCTCCCGTTTCTATCCCCAGTGTTGTCAGTGCACTGGTTCGTGCCCAGGGCAGGAAATCAGCAGGGAGCAGCTGGAGAAGTTGCTCACAGTCAGACCCACTTTAGGTGTTGTGACTGTGCCCAGGAACCTCGTGGGATGTGAAACACAGCCCTGGGCAGAGGGGCTGGAGCTGGGGAGGCTCTAAAGCCCAGCAGTTCCTCCATGGGTTTTCCAACCATTCTGCAGCCTCAGGTTTCCTCAGGACAGCCTCCCGAGGAACACACAGGAGACATTCACTGCCAAGCTTCCAAATTTTCAGCTGTGTGTTCACAGCTTTCTGCAGCTCCCTGATTTATCAGCCTGGGAGCACTTATGGTGCCTGGAACGTGTTCAGAATCGTGCATGGGCACACGTGCTCCAAGATTTTACAGCCAGTGCTTGTGCCAGAGCAGGGGATTGCTGAGCAGATGTTGATTTTAATACTCAGTTCTCTGGCCAACGAAAAGTTGTGTAGGAACAGGTTGGTGTAACATCCTCTCCCCCACAGCCAAGCACTCTTAGCCAAGGAAGTTTGAGCCAGCACAAGTGAGTAGGCAGCGAAACAGGCAAAGCTTAACTCTGCAAGGAGAAGCAAAATTGCCTCATCAACCCCAGCTGACAGGCTGGCATGTTAGTGAAAAGCCTCCTCAGCAACAGGCTGGACTTTGAGCAGGCTTTGCGGAGACAAATTCCACTTCCCCCTGACTGGAGACAGCTGTGGGGGAACACTCTGGATTTCTGCCACTTGGTGCCTGCTCAGCAGTGCTACTGCAGCCACTGCTGGTTCTGGTTTCTGGTCAGCAAAGCCTTTGTTAGGAGGGGAAATACCTTTTCTTTTTTTATCTTTTGATACTTTCTAGTCCAGAGAGACACTAAATAGCAGACAGAAGCATAAACCTCCTGGTGACCAGGGCTGCAGCACCCCAGGGACGAGCTGAGCTCTGTCACCTTTGCATCTCCCCCTGAAGGAGCTTCAACATCCTGACAACCCCCCCTCAGCCTCCTCATTCCCTGAACAACCCACCCCAACTCCCTCCACCTCTCCTGCTTGGCCATGTGCTGCAAACACTGAGCAAACCCAGCAGGAAAACTCCATGCAAGCCCAGATCATCACGACAGAGCCACTCACAGGATCAGATCTTCCTCCTTCTCCACTTTGGCAAAAGTGGCGACTTTGTTCTTTAACAAGTATAAGTGCCCGGGCCCTCCCTGCAAGAGAGAGACACGCACATGGAAACCCCTTTGCACAGGCCCCGGGGATAAAAACCCTGGATGCACTTCCAGTCCTGCCCAGCCATTCCCAGAACTGCCACAGGGGAGCAGGGCACACACACCGGGAACTGTCCCCGGCAGGCACCGGCTCGGGGAACATCCACAGTGGGGAGCGTGGGGGTTGGATTCGCCAGTTTTTACTGTTCTGTGCCCACCTTGCTCTAGAGAGGCACAATAATAAACAAAAATCGTCACTGTGGGTCGCTGGTGAGTAATAGGGAAGACAAGAAAGTCCGGGTCATTTGGGGACAAGGGACATCCCCTGTCGCTTGGGGGACTTGCCGTGGTGGGCAGAGGAGAAGCTGAGCACAGCAGGGATGAAGAGGAAAGGGATGGCACTGCAGAGGAACGGACTCGGGCAGCAGAAGGCATAAACAGATTGAGCACAACACCAGGAACATTAAAAGCCACAATCTCTAGGTCAGTGTGCAGCAAACCTGGCAGTCTACAGCACCGGGGACAGGGGAGGGAGTTGGAGTCAGCTTTCCCTCCTCATTTCTCATGTCAAGATTCCTGGCACAGCTGCTGGGCAAGTCCAGAACTGACATCCCGAGGAACAGGACACTTGGCAAGGAAATCCCCAGCAAGCCACAGATCCAGCAGGGTTTGAAGCTGACCAAGCCACAGCTCCAGCCTGTACCCTGAGCCCTGTCCTGCCTGCACTGGCCTCCAGCTCCCAGCTGAGCCACCTGCCAGCCTGATCTGCAGCTTGCACCACCGTCACTGCCACACCGAAGCTGGATGCAAATGATGACGACACTGCAAATGCTTGTTCCTGGCTCTCGAATCCCCTTTTGAGGTCTGTGCTGCTGCTGGTTTGCCTGGGGTTCCTTGAGAGTAGCTGAGAACCAGCCCAGCTCTTGACCCGGCCTCACTGAATCAGGTTTGATTTGCTGCTGTCACAGCAACTCCAGCCTGCTCAGTGCCTGGGAAATGGGAAGTGAAAGCTCTGCACTGGCAGTTACTTCAACAGAACCTGACTTTGGAATATTGCTTCCTTTATGTCATTCTCCCCAGAGAAAAAGACAAACTTGTAGCAAATCACCCAAGCACTTCACAACTTCCACATACCTGGCAAAATATCAGCATCTTCCAGATTTTGCAGCCTTTGCGATAAATGTTAAGTTTCTTCTCTATTTCCTCTGTAAAAAAAAAACCCAAAACAAAACAACAAAACTCAAACATGTTGGAAAATATGAACCATGGAGGAGGTTAAAAATCAATCATCTTGTTTCTTTTCGCTTCAGTCCTGCAGGCAGGAGGCTGAGCTGGGAGAGTTGCTCAGCACCAACGTGCCACGGGTGCCGTGGGAAGCAGGAATCCCAGGGTGTCACAGGGCAGGGGAGGGATGGCAGCACCAACCACTGCTCTGACCATGGCACTGGAGCAGAGCCAGCCCTCCTGACCCTGTTCATGCTCCCACCCACCACACAGGTGCAATTCACAGGTATCTGCTGCCCCCGGGCCTCACTTTCCCTTCCACAAACCAGGAGCTTGGCATAGAAAAGGAGCCCCAGAAGTGAAGGTTTATGACAGCAGCACATCCAAGAGCAGCTGACTGACTGCCATGTGTCACTGGGGTGGCAGAAACGCCTTTATGAGTGGCAGCTGAGGCACAGGGCAGCTGAGCGACTGGCACATTGATGGGTTCCATGTGCAATGGGCAGGAAGTGAGAAAAGGAAGTAACACTCACGTACCTAAGATGTCATCGAAGGTGGCATGTTCATGGTCCTGGAAACCAAGACAAAGGACAGACAAAGGTTCACTGTCACTACACCAGCTCCCATGACAGCATCATGGTCTCTAATACTGCACACAATCCCGTTCCCAGGTCAGCAGATGCTCTAAGGGCACAGTTACACCAGCTCCAGGCTGGTAGTCACAGCACAGCAATCACCACCTAAATCACATTTCACCACAGAAGCTGAAGGCTCAGCTGCCCATGAAGACCAAATCCACCCAAAGGCTTGGAGATGAAGGCTGCAGACACATCCAGAGCACAGACTGTCCATCAGATGCAGTCAGCATCAGCAATGCCTATTTGCCTCTTGGCCCACACTTTGTAGCCAGCTTTAGCCATGTGCAAGCTGGCTGACAAACAGCTGCACTCCCAACACAGTGCCTCTGGCACAGCAGGATCATCAGGACAACTGCACAACTCCCCAAGGAAGGGAGGCAGCAAGGCCCCCAGCAGCACTGCCTGCTGCACACAGGGCTCTCTGGGCTCTCAGTCCCACTTTCCCTTTCAAATTAAGTCAGCAAGTCATCAGGAAAAAGAGACCCACAACTCCTTGCTGCTGTTTCAGACACCTGCTCAGGCCAGATTCCCAGACGAAAATCAGAGTTCATTTAGTGACTGGCAGGGATGCACCACAGCCCGTGGGGTGGTGGGGTTTGTGTTCACTGCTGAGCTCCGAGGTCCTGCTCATCCCAAGGATGAGCATAAGGAGGAGCCCTAAGCCTGGCAATGCAGAGCTCTGCCTGTGATCCAGCCTGCCCTGCCTTGCCTTGATAATCTCCCCGTGCAGCCTGGCTGGGCCTGAAGAGCCCAACAACCCTCATGGGCCAATTTTCACTGCCCCTTCCTGTTCCACCCAGCCCCTGAGCCCCCACAAAGCTGCTGTGGGTTCACAGCACAGCCCCTCCCTGGCAGCTCTTCCAGATCACATCAGTGCTTTGGATTGACCATAACAGGAACTTGGGAAATCAAAAATTCTCCCTATGAAGTCTGTTCCCCAGCCCTAGCAGAAGGGATTTACTTACATAGAGGATGGGGATGATGGAGGGGTCGTCCCTGCGGATAATGGTTGGGACATACTCTGCTTTGGGCACCTTGGAAGAAATGAGCTGCAAGAGATAAAACAGAGGTGCAAGAGCATGAGGAGGAGGCAGAGCAGGGTGGACAGAAGCACATAATCCATGCTAACAGTGCCCTGTTCAGCTGCTCTCAGGTGTCCCTTAAGCCTCTCTGCATCCCTGTGGAAGGTATTCCAGCCTTTGTTCCACCACAGAGCATCCCAGGCCTGCCAAGTACCTGCTGTGTCACAGCCTCCTGCACCCCCAACACAGGAGCACACAGCTCTGCCTCACAGGCAGCAGAGAGAACAGTTTGGGAAGGGGAGGCTGGTGTGCACAGAGGATGTGTCACCAGGAATGGCTGTATCCCAGTAAGGATCCCTCCTGTGCAGCCTCTCCTCTGGCTGTAGGGAGTGCAGGGAGTGTTCAAAGGGCAGGAGTGGCTGGCTGCTGGTGGGACACTGCATCAGGCTCAGGGCCACAGGCATCAGGAAGGTGCCTGGCAACTCTGGCTGAAGGTTAGGGCTCAGGTTCAGGACTCAGGTCTCCATTTTCAGGGTTAACCAGACTCAGGCTTTGTGTTGGTGTCAGTCCTGCTCTGATTTGTATTACAGGCCCTTCCTTCCAGTTTTCTTTCAACACATGAACCCCAACAATAACAGGTCTGAACACCATGTCACGTCTTGGCTGATCTCTGAGTGACCCTCACACACACCTGAGGCACTGCCTGCACAACAGACTTGCCTCTTCCCACAGAGATCCCAAACTTAGCAGCTCTGAAAGGGCACACAGAGCCTGAGCAGACACAGGCAGCTGAGCTGGAAGCCCTCACCATTATTTTTGGTGGAATAAAGTCTTCTCCGTCACATGCCATGGCTTCAAGTTCCTTTTCTGCTTCCCAGTTCAAGTCGAAGTCACCCTCCAGAGTGCCACAGGAATCCTGAAGGTCATGGCCTGCCAGGACACAGGGAGCATTACCAGGGCAGAACAGCCTTCCCCATCCATGCTGGCGGCTGCCTCGCAGGAGGCTCCACAAGCCCCCAGACTTGTGCCCTCCTGCGTCCCCCGGAGTGACAGACACCACACTCTGGGGCTGGTGTCTCCACACAGACAGACACGGAACGGATGGAAGGTGCACGAGGAGCTCCACACCACGAACCACAGAGCTTCACCACCCTCACAGGCACCAGGAAACCTTCACAACAGTCACCCCGTCATTCCAGACATGGAGGAGGAGACAGAACACAGACAGACTCTCTACACTTCAGCATTGCCAAGCTGAGAAGCAAAAGTCCAAAGACTTCAAAGCTGGTCTCCTCGTAGTAATTACTGCTCTGACTACATCTTTTGAGGGATTATAGAGCCAATCTGCCTTGTTGGTCAGACTGATCCTGGCAGAGGATTCTTAGAGCGTGCGTGAGGACAGCTGCAGCAAACACAGTCAGAGTGCAACAGTGGACTTGAATTTGCTCTCCAAATTGACCTTACCTGTTGGCCTTCAATGCCTCCTGGGGAAAAAAACATCTGGAAGGAATATAATGGACCATTAAAGGTTAAAAATAAGAGATGGTTCCTGGACTGAGGAAAGAGAACCGAGATGCCTCCCTTTGTGCCTGTCGGGATGTCCGGGTGTCGCTGGGCAGTGCCTGGAGCCTGTCTGAACCGTGGCTGTTCCGTGTGCCTCTGGTTAGCTGAGGGAGCAGGGGGGGAGCAGACTGCCAAGCAACAAGCAGGTCACGTTTTGAACCTGGCCTGCCTTCCAGACACCTCCCCCTGCAGTCTGGTGCAGCTACCAGGGCCAGATCTCACGCTTACCTGGTAGGTCAGGCCATTTCAGTAGTGAAATCCATTTCAACATGGGCAAACTCATCACCACCAAGTTCCTGCCTACAGGCTTTCAACAAAATCTTTGTAAAACAGCCATTCCCTCCATAAGAATACAGTGGGAAGATGCTGGCATTTCCTCCTGTAAATTAGCACAACAGCATCTCAGGCCCCACGAGCAGAACGTGGCAGCACTACTGGGGATTCCCAGAGGAATTCCTGGCAGCCCAAATGAAGATCACCACCTATCAAGCTATGACCTGTGCAGGCAGCACGGCCAGGAAATCAAAGCTCCATCTCACAGAGCACTTCAGTTGTGTTCTGGAGCTATTCCAGCCTAGGGAAGAGCTCAGAAGGGGCTCCTGCATGGGAAGCCAAGTCAGCCCCACTCTGGTGAAGGTAAGCTTGGACTGGCAAGCTTCCAGGTGGGTTGTTTGGGTCCCAAGCAAATAAGGGATGATGGGAACAGAGGGCTGTAAGAGAGCTGTACCACTGGGTATCCTTTGGCAACTGCTCAATAACCTGAGGTTCGATGGGTTGTGCTCTACAGACGAATAGAGGTACACACAGAGGAACAGGTACAAACACCTGGAGCGTCACGTGCTCCGATCTCAGCAAACTAAAAGGATCACAGACAGGACAGAAGGGCACAGAGGAGTTACTCCAGTGGGACTCCAGCCAACACCTCCACTGGAGGGTTTGCCCACAGGAGGAAGGACTCAGAACTCACTTTCTCGAGAGTCATGGAAGGAATCAGCTTTGATGGGAGTCGGGTCACTCCAGGACCTGCTGAAGCTCCTCTCACGCCGTTCGGCAAAGGCTAGGATAAAACCAGAGCAGGACATTAACAGATCCCAAAGCCACCTCTGCTGCTGCCACCAAACAAAACAGCCAGTAGATTTCCACCAAAGCCACACATCCCAGACTCCCCTGGGCTCGTCCTTCCACTTGCCAAACGTGAGTCCTTTCCACACAGCAAACATGGGTCTCTCTTCTACACAGCACAAAGTGCCCTGCACAGGACAGGGTGTGTAACACGGAGAAAGGACGACACTTGATGGTCTCCTGAAATGCACACAGCTCAAACCTCAATTCAACAAGGCTATTCCAGTGTCCCAGTGCGAGTGCTTGGACTCAGAGGCCTCACAGGAAGATGCACTGCACAGCTAATGACCTGCATGACCAGAAGAAGGCAGCAGTTCTCCAGGCAGCTTTCCCTTCATGTTCTTCATCCCTTCATCCCAGTCAGAGCTGGACCAAACAGCAGGACAGGAATGGCTCTGGAAATCTCATGCTTTCTAACTTTCACTGCCAAAGAGGGGATCCTTCAGCCTTTGCTTGCCTGCACTTCTGTGATCACCACCTCTGCTTTGTTTTTCTTTCCCATGGAGAATTGTATTGTTTGTACTGGCATTTCCCAATTGGAATCCAGGGAGCTTGGCCCAGCTGGCTGCACCACAGGCAAATTCCTGGGAAGTGCCAACCACCATGTCTGACTTGGCAAGCCCGTGTGAGAGCCATTATGCCAAGATAACAGCCACTTATAGCCACTAATATCTATTTCTGGTGGCAGACAGGGAGTTTGCAGCAGTCACAGCAGCACAGGAATCCACTGCAGGTCTGGATCAGAAGAGCTGAGAAGCGACCTGTCCCCTCCTGCAGGGTGTCCAGGGTGGGTGTGACCTGTCCCCTCCTGCAGGGTGTCCAGGGTGGGTGTGACCTGTCCCCTCCTGCAGGGTGTCCAGGGTGGGTGTCCAGGGAGAGAAATCTTCAGTTCTTCAGGTGATCTCCACCCTCAGTTTGCATTTCAAAGCAGGCACTGAGGTACTGTGCACACGAGGAAAGCTTTGAAAACATGATCCCAGAGTTGCAGAGGCACAGACATGCCTGAGCTTCCCCCCAGCTCTGGGGGGGGTGAGCCCTGGCCACGTCAGGCAGTGCTAACTCAGATGCCAATAAAGACTCTGGAAAGGGCAAAGCTCTTTGCTGATCACTTCCCACAGCGTATGAGAGAGGAAAGAATGCAGATTGAACTCAGCAGTGCTTTGCTGTGGGCAGTCTGTACATGATGCCTGGCCAGGGGGTGGGAAGAACAAGCTGTTCTGGAGCAATCCTCAGCTCTCAGGAGCAGGTTACACCACTCTCAGCCCACTTCACAGTGACAAGGCAGCTGCCCCATCCAAGTTATGAAGGAGTGTTGCCTTCTGCAGGGAAAGGGAACTGCCATCTCCTGGGCCTAAGAGGGGATTTCTTCCCCAGTGAAAAGCACAACACTCCCTTATTTCCCCCTTGCTCCAGTCTCTTCCCTGTTGCTCTTCTTTCTCCCTTCCATCCTCTTAGCTCCCAGCAGGCAACTTTCCCCCAGGTCCTGCTGTGGGAATGGCAGTGGGAGAAGGACACAGCCAGCAGCCTGCAGGGCACATGGAGCACTGCCCACCCCAGGAGGCACAGCTGGCACAGCTGGCACAGCTGCACAGGAGCCCAGGCAGCCCTTCCAGCTCTGCTCAACTCCCAGCTCGGCTTCTCCTCACGAGCCTCCACCAAAACCCCCACACAGGGCAAGGATGCTGCAGCTTTCCTTCCATTCCTTGCACCAAAGATCTCCCACAGCCAAGGCAGAGGGTGCTTGGAAGTAACTTTCAGGCTGCTTGGTGACATCCACACGTCCTGGAGACTTGCAGCAACCTGGCCTTCTGTTTTGTAGGATAAATGGCACCAGCAGGTCAAATCCTCTCTCCAGCCCAGTGCCAGGTCCTTTCCACCCCCACCTACATGTGACAGAGCTCCCCCACGTCCCTCCAGCACAAACCCCAGCTCCTCACAGCCACAGCTCACAGGTGCTCACTTACTTTGTGCTTTAACCCTTCGGCTCCCCACCATGCGGAGGTGCTTCCGAAAATTCCTGAAAGAAAGGCCAAACACAACCTTTGAGGAAGGTGAGGCAAAGCAACACCTGGGCCCAGCAGGACTGAAGAAATGGGAGGAACAAAACCAAAATGGGGATGGATGATGGTGTATTCCCTTCTGGGCTTTCAGGAGCTGGAGGTCAGGTCCCCAGCCTGCACCGACACTGGTTGTGTTTGCCAAGAGTGGGACTATTCTGAGCTCCCTGGCACGGGCCAAGGGGGGTCCTACCTGGCATCCCCTGCTCACAGCCTGCTGTCCCTTTGCTGTGACTAAGGCACAGTCCCCAGGGACCTGCTCTCTGCTGCAGCTGCCACCCCCACTGCCCTGGAGGGTAAGCCCTGGGGAGCAGCTCCACCCCACAGTCAGGTCTGGGTAAAACAGTCTGGCCTGGCCACCCCTGAGAGGCCACGGCCAGGGGATTCTTTGTGCAGCCCCTCTGAGAGCAAGGGACCTGTTTCCTTTAGCTTCTCACCACTCACCGAGGCAGGAACAGGACAGGAATCAAACAGGACAGCAGAAGAGACAGAGGGAGGAGCAGCATTTGGACTATCAAGAGAAGTGTCACCTCTCCACAAACCCTACTCAGTCAGGGTGACTTCACCCCACAGTGCAGCCCCAGGATGTTAGGGAACCTACAGGGAGTGGGGGAGCCTTCCTGGATTCCCTTCTGCCCCCCAACACACACCACAGACACCGAGCAACAGAGACTCCAGCTGGTGAAAGGGGTCAATGGTCAATGGCAAGCTGTCCGGCTCACACACAGGTTAATGGGGTCAGTAGGGACATGTTACACCATGCAGATGCTTTAGCACTGGACCAGGAGACACTCCCAGCACCAGTGTGAAGCTGTTCAGAGAAATTTGGATGCCCCTGCTCCTGTACAGGGAGATCCACCCAAACACAGTCCTCGTGGGAGAGCACTTAACCCACGTCACCCTCTGCACTTCCCCACTTAGCCCCTGGATCCCTTCTTGTCATCAGGATCCAAATTCGGCAGCTCAAGAAGGAAAACCAGCAGCTGGGAGCAACATTATTTCCTGCCAAATTTCCATCTGCACTTGGGCTATTAATGTTTTCCAAAGATTTATTATATCTGTAATGGAGTGTGTGAAGAATCCCTGCTGTGGATCAGAAAACTGCCCCTTCAGACACATCCACTCACACATGCTGGGCTGGCCCAACACACAAAGCCTTCTGGGGTGCACCATGACTGACAATGGGGTCTGTCCTACTGTGCATTGGATTCAAATCCAAATAAATACGTCATTTTAAGGGAACCAGGGCTGCCCTTTACACAAAGAAAAAGTCTTAGATCTTAGACTCATCAGAATGAAAATCTTTGTGGTCCACTGTCAGCCCAAGATCAAACCAGACACTGAGCACCACTGTTAATTGCCAAGGCCCCTGTTACATCCTTTGGGCTTTTGGTATTTTGGAGTAAAATCCCCTTTTTTGTTAAATGCTCAGTTGTCCTCTCCACAGAGGAGATTCTTCAGCCCCTGAGGGCAGAGGGGTAAAACAGTCTTTGCCAGAGAACGCTGCTCCCAGCTGCTTGGACAGCTTGGATTCTCCCATGAGAGACCTAAATACTGCTGAGAGCAGCTCCAGGGAGCTCCAGCTGCTCAAGGTTAACACCACACTAAATGCTCAGAGAATGGGATGAAGAACTTTTGCTCCTTCTCATCTCCTCTAGAAAAAACCAGCACTTTGGAAAGGAGGTGCAAGCCTGGGATTGACTCCTAATGTGGGCATCCTGTGGGCATCCAGATTGCTCTAAGGGTTTTTTGTAGGTCCATGTCAGCACGGCAGGACTGGCCCTGGGGAAGGTGCAACCTGCTCTGTGAGTGCTGGGGCTCCATAAACCTGCCCAGCCTTCCTGCCTGGCTCCTGCCATTGCACCCAGAACCCCTGTGTCACCTGATCACCTGCAAGATCTCTTCACCCCTCACCACACAACCAGCATCCCTCAAGTTTCAGTGACAAAATCTCCTTACTCCCTTTTCTGACCAGTGCTCCTCCTGACAGACTCCAGTCTGCTTGATGGGCACGACCCCGTGGCACCTCCAGGGTTTTCATCTCAGCCAGAGGGGACTCTAAGACACCACAGCCTCACTCCACAGCCTGTAGCTCTGCCCACAGAGGGTCACCACACTGTGCAGAGAAGCCTTTTCTCTACCCACACTCCTGGCAGCACCTCTCCTGTTCCCCTCCCTGGCTGCTCCCACAGCAGGCACATGGTTCACTCTGGGCATCCCTGAGTGCCAAGGCAGCATCCCTGGGTGCCATGTCATGCAATCCAACCTCCCTGAGCACCAGAGCCACCCCTGTGTGCCAGGCCACACAAACCAGCCTCCCAGGTCAAGGACTGAAGGGGCTGGGCAGCAACAACTGAACCCCAGAACACTCGAGGCCACGCCGGGCTGCACAACAAGCACCCAGAAGTGAGGTGGGGCTGGGGTCTTCCTCACCCCCTGCAGGAGGCAGCTGAACACTGCCAGCAGTCCTGGTAACTGGTCAGGGCCTGCCTGCACGTGGCACAGCCAAAATCCCACCAGTGCTGTCCTACTCCTCTCTGGGACGTGATAAACACAGATGTGCTCCTGCTGTGCAGCCCTGCCTGGACCTTCAGCGTGCACAGGGGACATCCTGGCCACCCAACACAAGGAGGAGGTGACTCCACCCTCTCCCCTGACCACACAGCACCACCAAGGCACGAAGCTCCTGCTCCTGCACTCACAGCACCACATGAACAAGCCAATTCCTCACCAAGACTTGCCTCTGTCTTCCTGACTCTGAGAAATCTCCCTCTTTTTAAAGATACACTGTCTATTTGTTGAGAGCGTCTTCAGTATCGATTTTTATTTCTCTTCATTCTTGTTTTAAAAAGAAACACACCATCCTTAAGCTGCTAAAAAAAAAAAAAAAAAGTCTGCCTGGCAATTTCCCAGATAAAAAAAACCTGATGTTTTTCTCCCACTTGGTTTTGAGCAGTGAAGTCATCATGGCACTTTTTAAGCAGTGACACAAACACTGTGTTACCCTTTTTAGTAGGCTGCCAAAATACACGAGCCTTGGCACATTTTAAAAAAACAAACCAGTTCTGATTCCCACTGTGGGTAAGTGATGTGCCACAGGAGGCCTGCAGAGGGAAACCAGCCCTCTGTGTAATAATACATGGAAAAGGAATCAGTCCCCATCCCCCTTTTTCCCTTTCTATTATTGAAAAAAAAAAGGTGAAAAACCAGACTTCTTGTTGTTAATTCTGCCTAAGTCTCAGATTTTTGAGGTGCATTTGTAGATGCAGCAGCAGCACATAAAAGTGTTCAGCCAACCTCAACCAAATTCCTTCCCATGGCAGAGGAGCTGGAAGCAGATGATGTTTAAGGTCCCTTCCAACCTAAACCATTGTATGATGATATAAAATTCCAAGCATTTGGGAGAAGGCTGGGAAATTGCATCTTCAATTTTTTAAACTCTTCTGCCTGAGACACAGATCTCACAGTGTATTAAATTTGGAATGCTGTAAGGAACTTGACAGTGCTCTTTAAGAAGATGGAGATCAGCTCCTCCCCTCCACAGTTCCAACACAGCCACTGCCAGTGTCCCTACGGACAGCACACAGACAGGGACACACTCAATGCCACCAGGGTTCACTGCTGACACCCAAAGGGCCCATGCAACACCAGGCAGGGTCACGGCTCCCGGAGGGAAGGGGCCCTACCTCTGGATAAGAGCTGCGGAATCATTCTCCCGTTTCCGTCTCTTCCTCTCTGCGTAGCCCCTGAACGCCCTGGGAAACCATTTCAAGCCATTAAGCAACTCCACAGCTTTGAACTGGAGAGGACACGGAACACAGACAGGAAAAGCTCTCACCACACAACACAGAGGCTGTGCTGCCCTGGGATGGACAGCCCTGAGTGTGGGGCAGGGCACTCCCCAAACCACAGCTCCTCACTCCCAGGGCAGGGGCCGGACAAGCAGCTGCTCCTCAAGCACAGATCAGCCCCAAAGACCAGGGCTGAGCAGCCCCATCCCTGCTACAGAGAATGGACCTGGGAGCTGCAGACACATCCCCTCTGCACACCAGGACTGAGAGGGGTAGAAGTGTGCCAGCAACTGGGGTCTGCACCTCGAAGATGGGGATGGCTGTGGTGTGATCCATGTAGGCCTTCTGTGTAACCTCCTGCCAGCTGAGAGACAGCCCCTGGCACAGGGAAAGCATGAGTGGATATGATGGACAGGAGAGGAAAGGAGAGTTTATCCAGTACACCAACAGACAAGGAAATAAAAATCGAAGATTATACTTACGAGATGCTAGAGATTCCAGGAGATGCAGGGAAAAAGAAAGAGAAGAGGAAGTCGTTAGTGCTCAGCCCCAGCCAGTGTTCTGAGGGAGTTCTCACTCCAGAAGGAATACTTCTTGTTAGGTGGAAGGAAATTGCTTTTTAAATTAAACATTTCTCAGTGGTGAGAACTCCAACTTGCCCAAGCTTTATCCTCCCTGGGGCAGCGGTGACAATGGGGCTTGGATGCCAGGTAAGCTCCACACAGACCCAGAGAACATGCAGAGGTACAAGAGCTGGATGGGGCCCATCAGGCTACACCTCCACAGGCTTCTGGAGCAGGGGCAGCACTGGAGCAGAGTCCAGGGGCACGTGGGGAGCCACCCCAACACCTCAGGGAGGTGCCCTGAACTTCTGGAGATGTTTCTGTGCAGTGTCCAGAGGCAGCAAAGAACCTCCAGACATGGTAACCCAGGGGGGTTGTGCTCCTCAAGGGTTTCCTTAGGACACCATTCCCCAAACCACCCTCACTTTGGCCTTCAAGCCCTGTAAGCCCTGCCATGGGCCATCACCCTGCCACAGATCTTCAGGCCAGCAAATCTGCATTCAGAGAGCAAAGAATGTGCCCAAAGACAACGTGCTGATTTTGTGCATGGTCTGTGGGTCAGATCAGAACTGTAAAACACCATGAACTGGTATCAGCCAACATTTAAAAAGAGTTTTTCTCTGGGGAATGCAGCTACTCTGCTCCTCAGGGTTGGATCCAGCCCTCCCTGCAGCAATCCTTACAGGTCTGGTCCAGTCTGGGTTATCCCAGGATCAACAATCAGCCCCTCTTCAGGATTTGAGAAGGGAAGAGTATGAAGGAAAGAAGAAATGTCAGAAAAACAGATTACAAAAAGGACACCAGATGAGACAAGAAGAAAACAGGGAGAGCAGGAGAGCTGAGGGAGTCCCAGACATCAAAGAAGCACACAGGGAAAAAGTGATAAGGCTGGAGAAGGGCCTTGGAAGGCAGGACATTGTCTCATTTTCCTCACTGCTTGCCCTGGCTTTCCAGGCAGGGAGGAAATACTTGAAGCCAGGAAGACAAAACTTCCCTGACAAGCTGGGTACAACCTGGAAATGAGGCTTTCCTCACTCTCTTCAGCCCTTTGAGAACTGTCTCCTCCCAGTGCACAGCAACCAGGGCCACCAAATCCTGCACAGAGTGTGCAGGGAAAGGCCCTTCCAACTCACATCCCTTCATGCTTCGCAGGGATTTTAGTGACAACTTCTTCACATGGCCAGACCAGTGCAGAACTGCAGGGCTACATCTTATCCCATGGAAAGGGAGATCTGAGGAGCCCCAAGGAGTTCAAGAAGGTAGAACCAAATAAATGAGAGCAGTAGGAAAGAACTAATCAGTGGGAAAAAAATTAATGAGAGACAAGTTTCTCTCTCTCTCACCCCTGGACTGTGGTGCCAAACACACGACTCAAGGCTCTCAGACACAGCCCTGAGCAGGCTCTGGGCTCTGAGAACACACAGAAGCCACAGCAGGGGTTTCACTTACGCTTGCATAGTTGTAGTAGCGGTGTGAAAACTGAAGAGGTTCTCCTTTGGGAACCAGGTTCGTATGGGGACATCATCTGGAAGAGAGAGAGAGCAAAGCCTGAGCATCCAGAGGGCACAGACATCCTTTAGACAGTCAGACTTCCCAAGATCCTTCTCTGAGGACTTTTTTTCTTCAGCATCCTGCCCTGTACTGAGCAGGAGTCTCATCCTCCTCATATATATGCACACTGCCACCCAGTGCTCTGTAAATTGGTGCTAAGCCTGTCTATCAGGCTACTAAATGAAGAATAAAAGCTCTGTCCTAAGCACAGAAGATTAGAGTAATCCAGGAATTACAGAAGTGACATTTGAACCAGGAAAAAAAAACAAAACAGGGGAAAGAAAAATTTTTCATTAAAAGCATTTTCCAGTCTCTGTCTTCTCCTTTATACCATTAATTTGAAATGTCCCATTCCTCCAGTTCTTTCTGATACAGCCTCTGGTACGAGCCCCTCCTGAGAACTGTGAGCCTGAGATCTCTTTTGGTGCCACTGAAGCTTCAATAAACCCCTCACACACCTCCTGGAGACCTGGCCCTCAGGAGTTCATCTGGTTTGGAAGTCAAGCTGCCCCTCAGCTATAAATCTGCAGGTAAATGGGCTGACTTGGTCACCTCTGTTTGTAAACTGCCCTTCCAAAACCAGCTGGGGATTATTTCCTAATTCCAGGGCATTAGGACACTGCATCATCTTCCCAGAATGATCACTAAGACAAAAAGCAGGCAGCAAAACAAGCCACTAATTTCAAGTGTGGGATGGTGGTGAGCAGGAGGAGGGACCTGTCCCTGAGAACTCTCAGCCTGGAGTCAGGCAGGCAGAAAGTCAGAGGGGTACTGAAATCCACTGACACAAGACTTGAGAGATCTCAGTGGACTGGATTCCTGGGATTTGGGGCTCCCTGATTTTTCATCTTGCTTCACTCCCAGTTTGTGGCTTCCTTGCCCAGTGTTGGTGTTGCTTCAGTCATTCAAGTTTTCAGATCACTTGCAGCTGTGGTATCTCAGCCATTCACAACCTGGCATTGTCCAGGGGTTTTTTAGCTCACTTGCACTGGCCCAGACCCAGTCCAACCCCACATGTCCACTGCAGACACGACTACTGCAGACCAAAACATCTCACCACGTGTTTTGTACAGCTCATCACATATTCCAGACTGACCCTGCTACTCCCTGAAAGAACAAGAAGTGGCTGCAATCACAGATGCAAAAACTGCCAACTGCAACTGGGGAGGATTCCTCTGAAGTGCAGCTTCCCAGAAATCTACAGAAAGCTGTACCAGACACTCCTTCTCAGCTAAGAGTTTACGTCAAGTCTTGTTTAAAGGCACCCTGAGGAAATATATATGTGAAATGAAAGCTGCATTCCAGCATGGTAAAGACTTGTGATGCAGTCCCTAAATCTGCTCTCCTCCAAAACACAGAGAAGCAACGCAGAACAACTCAAGACTGCAAAGGAATTACTCGTTTGAAGTCTCAAACCCCCAGAAGTGGTGAAGGAGAAGTTGTACAAATTCCTTTTTTAGCCAACAATTCTGTACAGACTTCTCAGGGGCAACACATCTCAAAGAACTGACATCTCTTGATGTATTTTACAGCTTTTAAGCCACGAGCTTTGGTTCAAAGCAAAGCTTGTGAAGAACAGCTCATTTCCTTAGGAGGCTTTGCCTGGACCATCCCTGGGAGCCTCCCCTGCTTTTCTCATAGTCAGGAATCAACTTAAGAAAGATATCCCTGCCCTACACACAGCACTCAATGGAGAATTAAGGATTTGGGACCCTTCAGAGGTGTCTCTTTACCAGCCAGAGGTAGAACAGCAGCAGAGGAGCACACAGCTGGGGACCAGGCAGCACAGCTCAGCTCCAGAGCTCACCCACTCAATTAAAATTCAGATTATGGGTATGGCTGTTGCTGCCAGGAGTTTACAGGCAGCAAACTCCTTTTTGGCCAGGCAGAGCAGCTTGTTCTCCTTTCATGTTGTATCAACTATGATGAGACAGTTGAGGGGCCAGGGGCTTGGTGAGGCTGGAGGAACACCAGAAAAACAATCAGCATCTCCAGCCACTGCACCCAAATCCACAAGTGGATGTGTCTGTGTGAGATGCTGGGAGCAGCCCAGGAGATGACAGCTTGTGCTTCCCTGGAATGGTGTAAACTCAGCATCAAAATCCATATTAAATGATGCCACGAGGGTTGGTTTGCAGCAACATGTCATGTAAATCCAAACAGCAGCGGCACTGCAGGGTGAACCTCTGGGGAAATCAGCCTCTCCCCCACCTCCCCTCCCCTCTGCTCCCTTTTCCTGCTAGCCAGGCATGAAGGGCATGCCAGGGATTTCTTCCTGCAGCCTGTGCCACTTGTGCTGCTCGGTTCTCTGGTTATCTCTGAGGGACAGCACTTGGGTACAGAGTGCAAATGAAACCAAGCTGAGGAAAATTTCCTTCCACGCTGCCAGTGCTGCGCTGGGATCCGGGCTGGGAGACGCAGCCTGTGCAGCCACACGTGCCCAAACTCAGCTCGAGACAATCCCCAAGGGGAGCTGCTGCCTGTTTGGATGAAACACAAACCACTCAGGGAGGCATCCACTGGCCCACTTTGTTCCCATTTAAGTGACTACTCTCTGATATGTTTTCAGAAAGACAGATCTCCATTTCACACTGGTAACCGGCCCCAGCAAAAATTGCTGCCTGGTTAAAAACGCAGATTAAACTCCAAGGCCCAGAAACAGAACATGGCATCTCCCTGCAGGATTTGCTAGGACACATTTTCCAGCAAATTGAGCAGTTTAGGTCCAGCTATGAGGAGTTAAACCCCTCCTTTAGTGATGTGGAGCTCTCCTTTGGTTCTGCATCAAGTAACCTGCTTCAGTCCCACAGTGCTCAGTGCAATTTTGATTTGTTCAGATGTGCTGGTTTGGGATGGGATGAAGTTAATTTTCTTCACAGTAGGTGGTATGGGGCTGTGCTTTGGATTTGTATTGAAATTTGCACTGAAATCCAGCCAGGTTGGACGGGGCTTGGAGCAAACTGGGCTAGTGGAAGGTGTCCCGGCCCATGGCAGGGGTTGGAATGAGATCAGATTTAAGGTGCCTTCCAACCCAAACCATTCCCTGATTCTCTGAAAAGAGTGCTGATAACACAGGGATGTTTTGTTATCACTGAGCATCCCTTCCCAAGGAGAGTGGGGGAATTAATTCCTTATTTTGCTTCACTTGCTTTACCTAAATTGTCTTTATCTCAACCCACAAGTTTTCCCACTTTACCCTTCCCCACCTCACCGGGGCAGTGCTGAGGCCAGAGTTCAACCACAACATCACCAAAGCTTGCAACATAAACCCACCAGCACTAGGACAGGAAATCTTCCTTTTCTTAATTCAGCACACATCATGAGGCTGCAACCAAGTCAAGTCAGCACCCTGATCTCCAGCAGACCAAGCCCCTGGGGTTGGGCTCTCCTTTCCTGAAAATACTTTCTTTTTCTATCCTCAGACAGGCTTGCTGGCTCTGTCAACACATGCAGAGCCATCTTTTTAAGGGGAAAACACATGTGATCATAAAACCCTAAAAGGTTTCTACACAGAAATACTCTTATCACTCCTTTTCTTGCACTTTAGCAATAAAAATAATAAAGTCTAAACTTGCACATGCAGTGTCTGATGTGAAGCCCCAAAAATCCCAGGGAACAGAGGAATAATGCTTAAAAAACATGCACAGGATTCCAATGGACAGCAGTTGTTCTGCACATTTGATAATCACCTGGTTTTTCACTACTATTCTTCAGTTTTAGGCCATATATTAATTTAGCCACATAATTTCAAGCATCTAAGCATGGAAATACGGTCCAGAACCCAAACTTTGGTGATCTTACCAGTAGTAAACATCACTATAATATTTACTAGGAAACTATGAACACAGGAAAGATGGACAGCTTGATCTCCACAGTCCTTATACTCAATTTCTTCTCCAGGAGAAAACCTGGACCTTTCCTGGCTGGACTCTCTGCTCTAAAAGCCTGGATGTGTGTTTACAGTAAAAATCAGACAAATTAGGTCAGACTCCTTGCCAGCCACATACAGGCAAAGATGGACTGTGCACTAGTTTGTAATTCAAAGCACACAGGCTGTGACATATATTTGATTAATGGCTCAGTTTTTGAAGACAGCCAGGGATTTCTTTAATGTAATTGAATAATTACAAGCCCTATTCCCTGAGAACACTGAGCAAATGGATAGTGAGCAGGGAAGAAAGTTCAATACTGTGCTGTTTGCTGCATTTATGGGAAGCCCATGAGGTGGCAGTACATGGGGGACCCTGTTAAAACGCTTCCAGCCACACAGATGAGCATTTTGGGGGACACACCAAAGCACAGAACACTGTAGCCTGAGCTGAGGGTCCTACAGAGCACTGTGGCACATTGACAAAGATTTCCCCTGCCCAGCATGAGGCAGAGAGAGTCCTGCTCTGGGATGAGCAGGGATGAAGGTTCTTAGGCAAAGCCCCTCCTCTCTTGCAGAGCTCACCCTCACTGAGCTGCAGGAAGGTGTCCTGAGAACCACCCAGATCAGCTGCTGCTCTCCAGCTGGAGGGAGAGACAACAGAGCTTGGAGAGCTGGCCCCCAGCTGAGCTCAGCTTATTTCCAACTCCTTCCTGGAAAATCCCTTTCCAGGAATGCTGGTGCAGGGCCTTGATTTGGAGCCGTGTGAGGACACTGAGGGCACTTGGTGTGTTCAGCTGGAGCAGAGGAGACTGAGGGGAGACCTCCCTGCAGTTCCAACTGCCTGGGCAGGGGCAGAGGAGGGGTAGGACTGAGCTCTGCTCTGGGGGGACCAGGGACAGCCCCCAGGGAATGGCTGGAGCTGTGTCAGGGCAGGCTCAGGGTGGATCTCAGGGAAAGGTTCTTCCCCCAGAGGGTGGTTGGCACTGAACAGGCTCCCCAGGGCAGTGGGCACAGCCCCAAGGCTGCCAGAGCTCCAGGAGGGTTTGGATGATCCTCTGGGGCACAGGGGGTGACCCTTGGGGATGGGCCTGTGCAGGGCTGAGGGCTGGACTGGATGAGTCCTTGTGGGTCCCCTCCAACTCAGCACATTCTCTGATTCTGTGAAGGTACCAGCAAGGTGCCAAAAGTGAAATGCTACAGGGCCCAACTCCAGGCACACGGCAACAAACCCTCCATGCTGGGCTGACATGGGTGCCACCCTCTGCGTCCCTCCAGCACCCAACCCTCACCCCTCACTTACCAGACACTCGATCGACACTGTACATCCTCTCCAGCCTCTTCCTGTGCCACCCAGCCTCGCTGGGCGGGTGCTGCTCCAGGTCAAAGGATTGCTGGGAAGGGGCAGCCAGGCGGGTGCAGTTTGGGCACTCCTTGGAGCCCTGGCGGCTGCCCGGCCAGCCCTTGCAGTGCCTGCTGACGCCGTGGGAGCCGCCGGCGCCGTGCCCGTGGTGGCCGTGGTGACACTCGTCCTGGGCGGCCCCTTTCATCACCACCAGCTCCATGCCGTCGTTCTCGTGGTCCGACAGCATCGGCCGCTCGCCGGAGATGGTGTAGACTCGTGGCTTGGCTGCCTCGCTCGGGATCTTCTCCGCCTGCTCCTCGAAGCTCCTCTCAAACTTGCCGTCCGAGATGACCGAGAGCCGGCGCTTGTTCTGTGCCGCCTGCTGCATCTCAGGGGAGTCCTCCTGCCCGATGTAGGAGTCTGCCAGCAGGTGATCTGAAACAGAGGGCACGTGTTCCTTAAACCCAAAGCACCCCAGATTCAAACTCAAATTCACGAGGCTCTTTGCTGCTGCTGTTGCTGCAGGAAGGGGAGCAAGGAGAGAAATACAGCAGGTTCCCCCAGGAAGCATTTCAGATGAACATTGTGCCCACTGCCGCCTTCTGAACCTCCAGAGCTGGCACTGAAATGAGAGACATTCCTCACAAATAGGCCCAATATTGTAAGCATGTGTGGCCACCAAGGCAGGTCTTATTGCACAGCCTGAAAACGCTCCCAGTGCAAGACAGCCCTGGTTCAGCTGCAGCCCTGTCTGCTCCAGTGGGTTCTGGGGGCTACTGAGCTGGTCTCAGCCTGCAGGACAAGGACCAGCACAAACCTCTTCAAGTGCCAAACTCTGTTTTACTCATCGAGTTCTTTTAGAACGCTGGGAAAGGGTTGGGTTTTTTTTTCCTCCTGATTTCCTGCCAACAGGGCAGGTACTACTGATCCTGGCTGAGTGTACAGACTAGGGAACAAAAGGCTGGAGGGAAGCACTGCAGAGAGGGCCCTGGGGGTGGTGGTGTGTGGCCAGTTGGCCCTGAGTCAGCAGTGCCCTGGCAGCCAGGAGGGCCCACCCTGTCCTGGGGGGCACCAGGCCCAGCATCGCCTTGTCCTGCTCTGCTCTGCCCTGAGCGGCTTCCCCTGCAATGTTGGGGCAGGCTGGGGGGACACAATTTGAGGAAGATCTGAAGCCATTGGAGAGTGTCCAAAGGAGCCAACGAGGATGGGGAAGGGCCTGGATTTGAAGGCGTGTGAGGACACTGAGGGCACTTGGTGTGTTCAGCTGGAGCAGAGGAGACTGAGGGGAGAGCTCACTGGGGTCTTCAACATCCTCCTGAGGGGCAGCTCCAATCTCTGCTCTCTGTGACCAGTGACAGGACCCCAGGGAATGGCTGGAGCTGTGTCAGGGAGGTTTAGGTTGGATCTCAAGAAAAGGATTTTCACCCAGAGGGTGGTTGGCACTGAACAGGCTCCCCAGGGCAGTGGGCACAGCACCAACCCTGTCTGAGTTCAGGAAGCCTTTGGACAACGCTCTCAGGCACAGGGTGGGATTGTTGGGGTGTCCTGTGCAGGGCCAGGGAGTTGGACTCAATAACCCTTGTGGGTCCCTTCCCACTCAGATATTCTGTGACATGAATATGACATGACAGAAATGCAGACAGACTTCAGGTGACAGGTGCAGCACAGCACCCCTGGCCAGCACACCACTGTGACAGCACAGCCCGTGGAAGCTGCCCTGGAGGAAAACACAGCAGCTCCCTTTGTAGGGTAGGAAGATGGAAAGGAGACAGGCCCATGAGTGCAACTATCTTTGGAGCCCACACACTGGATGAAGTGCCAGGAAATCTCAGCATTTCCATGGCAATTCCATGCATGAACCCAACAGTAGCTCCCACCCACCTGCTAATCCTTTTTTCAAGTGGCTGTTAATTACCTCTTACACTTCCCTTCAGATGGGAAGCAGCTATGGGGGACTGGCAAAAAGGCTCAGCAGGGAATGCATTATTCATGTGACTACTACCCCGAAAAAAATGAAATCATTAGTGTCCAGCACAGACAGCAGCACTTAAAACAGACACAGAAGGAAAACCCAAGCCTTCACTTCAGTAGATATTTAAGGAGTTACTGAGTCATGACCTGGAAGAACTCAGCCACGTTTTGAGGCTTGGCTGGATTGATAAATGGCCATGAAGAGATGAGGGAGGAAGAAACCTATCTCAGGACAAGACTGGTGGTGTATGAGTGACACGGGCTTTTCACTGCTGCCTTTGAAGGGCTCTTGTCACCCTCTCAGAAGGGCCCTCCCAAGCTGCAGACTGTCAGATTCTGAATCTGAAATCCATCCTGGATCAGGCTCCCATTGCCCAGGGCCTCTCCCCCTGCTCTGTTTGCAACCAAGACTGCCCAGAACTGAGCTGGTCCAGGGTGTCACCCTTATCTCATTTTTCTGCTTGAGACACGACTTCCTCCAGCACCACCAGGAGATAAACACATCTCTGGCCACTCTGCTCCAGGAGTGACTGTCAGGACTGCTCAGGCTTCCTAGTGAGGCCTCACAGTCTCTGGATACTGGAGCCAAGCAGGAGGAGACACTGCAGGAGTGCTAAAGAAAGAGCTGTGCCTGCTGACCTTGCAGCTGATGCTGTCTTTCCAGGCTTCCCATGAAGTCAAAAATGCATGTGTAGATGTAGTGGGGAACCATGCACCTCACTGATACTGTCCAGGTAAAACAGGAAAGGCAGGTCTCCTGCACAGAGATGGTGTGGACATCAGCACCTTTTCCAGGAGGAAAGCCTGATGGATAACAAGGGCCATTCCAATGGAAAAAGGTGCTCCACCAGCTGTCATGCAGCAGCTTGTCCACCCAGTCCTACCAGCTGCAGGACATAAAACAACCAGTGCAGAAAGAGCCCACAGGCTCCAAAGCCTCTCCAGCCACATTTCACCCCTCAAAGGGCAGCAGGTGAAGGGATCTGCTCTCCAGCACCTCAGCTCCTCTCCAGTTCCAAGACTAACTGTGCTCCAGAGTGGGCAAGACTTGGGAAAACACCACCAAGTGACTCTCCGAGATCTGCCAAGATCTGTGCCGGTTAACAGTGCCAAGCACACCATTTTTAAAATTAAAAACAAAGGCCAGTTCTCAGTACTCATCTCAACTTGTCAAACTTACTAATCTGTGTGGGCACAGTGACGCTACAGATTTCTCCACCAGCCCAGAATCGTGGCTGACAGCTGCCCCTGCTCCTCCTGAAATGAATACTAGGATGGAAGATGCACAGCCTCCTCAGAGCAAACACACAGGAGTGTCACCTTCCCTCACACACTGACAGCAGCACAATTCAGAGATCTGACAACTCCTGAGCTCTGGGATCTGTGGCTAAATGGAAAAACGAAGCCCCCGAAGCACAGTATGTCTGAAAATGGTGATGATCACAAGTGCAAAGGGACCAATTCCACTCTCTGTTTTATAAGCACTGAGGCCTGTTCAGCCCCATAAAATTTACAGATGTGCAAGTGGAACAGGCCTGGCTTCATGTAAAAGTCAGGTTTTTTACTGAAATCCTGGCAGGATTACAATTCTTGACCAGATATATTTGACATCAACTACCTGTTTGATTTAGCATGCAAAAGATGAGGACAATTCTTTCTTCCTACCTTATTTGTCCCTTCCTCAAGGTTTTTTCATTTGTACTTATGTAGGAGTTTTCATGATTTACACTACAAAAGGCTGCCAGCACACCAATGTTCTTTCTTTTTGTGAAACAACTGGATAATTCTTCATTTTCATTCAATTTAGCACCTTCAGTAACCACACACTGAAGAAACAACTTCATATGCAAAGGGAATGTGAAGCTTCATTCCAGACTTGTCGTTAATAAGGAATTTATCTACAGCAAAAAAGCCAGTATGGAAGGAAAAGAGATTCAAAAATCCATCATAATGAATTATTGGCTGCTAAAACCGAACCTGCACCATTTCAGGAGCAAGTCTGGGCGCTCACATACATGTGAGGTCACACAAACAGGCAGCCCCAAGATGTGAGCAGTGACCCTTTCTGTGCTTGCAGCGAACTGGATGCAGGTGCCACCTGCCTCCACTGTGGCATTTTAAGTTAATGGTTTGCTCCTGACAAGAAAAAAAGTCAGGCTGGTCCAGGAGTCAGTCCTGAATTAGATCTGAGCCACAGGGATGTGAGGGGTGAGACAGAGGGACACTGAGGGGAGTTCAGCAGTGCCTGGCAGTCAGCTGCAGCAGGCTGCTGTTAACACCCTGTGCCTGGTGACTGCTGCTCCCCTCATCTCATTGTCACATTGCTCTTGTCACTTCTCCCACTCCCAGCTGCTCCATCCAACTGCCACAGCAGCCCAGGCCAGCGGGATTCAGGACTCCTGGCACAGCTCCCTCCTCTCCAGCCACTCCAGGGAATCTGGCCTGGGAATGCCTCTCTCTCCACTTGCCTTCAGCAGCAAAGACACCTTTGTCTCACACAGCTGCAAAGCTACTTGGGACCAGACAAATCAGGCTCCTCAGATGAGTTTCTTTCCATCCAGATTTCTGCTCCACACGGGTTTGTTGTGCCTGAGATACTTCACAGCCAGATGAAGGGAAGGAGACCAACATGCTCTATCTGTAGATCATGAGTCTGCTGGTAACAGAAACATCCAAATGGTACTGTCATCACTTCCCTGCCACCTGGGCCGAGTCCAACAGCCTGTCCAGAGCCCAGGGGCTTGACAGCCCAGTCCTGAGGGCCAACCCACTTCTCACCCCCCTTGTCATTACTTGAACAGATGTTTTTTTTGGCCTCATTGCTCCTGTCTGACATTTCTTTCTTCCACTTCTACACAGCACTGCCCACCACAGTCCCCAGGGCACGTGTATCACCAAAGACACTGCCAGCACTGATAACCTGTGCTGGGGAACTGGCAGTATCCTGGAAAAGAGACAATCCACACTTTCAGTACATGTAGTTCCCAATAACTAGACCCTTATTAGACACTTACAATACATCTTTTCTCAGTCAGTAACTCCAACCTGAGCACTCGCTCTGACCCAGGGAACTGTGAAACGACTTGGGCTGTTTTTCTTTCACTGTCACCACGTTCCTGCAGAGCAGGGAACATGTTGGGACCAGCCCCAGCTGACTGATGTCCATCCACAACTCACAGAGCCGAACTCGCCTCTGCTGCAGACTGCCTTGTAACCCCGTGGGATGAGAAGTTTATAAATCAAGGCAGAACATGGCCAAAAGGCACAGACAGAAGCACCAAATTTATTCCTGCATTTAGCAGCTAAACTGATGATTAAAGCACCTTAGATTTAAAGCTTCCGCTCCAGCATCAGAAGCAAAGCGGCAAAGGGGAAATCAGATAAACCCTATTAAAAGAACATCTGTCATCTCAGCAAAATAAATTTCAGAGAGATGGTTCTCTCTTCCCTGCTCCACCTCAGCT